TTGAAGGTCAATATGGAGGCCATCTTGAAAAATGGCCGCCATCATGGATTTTCAAATGGCCAATCAGGCAGACTTGACTAGTAACCATTAGAGAATTACCATGCCAAATTTGGTGCTTTTGCATGATTTTCTTGAAAAATTGCATTTAGCTGCCCGCTCGGTAAGCCCACAAATGAAGATGGCCTACACCTATACACCACCTTTCAAGACACACCCGAGATCGCCCTTCTAAATACCGGAGAGCCCACCCACATTAGGGGAGGAAGGCGAGATCTAACCTTCGTCTCCAGTGCACTACAGCCTTGGGCCTCCTGGCAGCTACACCCCACGCTGACCAGCGACCACTTTGTCACCCTAACAACACTGAAGGTGAACAAACCCCCCACTCCACCCCCGCCGAGATGGAGATACAATACCCAAAACACGGACTGGGAACTCTATAGGAAACACCTGGCTAAGTGGCGCGCCAAATCACAGCCGGCTGGTTTCAGCACCCGTGGACGAGACAACCCACCATCAACAATTGGTAGAGGCGTTTCACCAAGCGGCAGAAGAGGCTATTCCAAAAACAAAACCCACATCAAGACAGTACAATGATTACATGTATCTTGGTAATCTTGTGTTTTGTGCATATATATATATATAAATATGTATATATATATATATATATATATATATATATATATATATATATATATATATATATATATATATATATATATATATATATATATATATATATATATATATATATATGCTGATAACCACAAGGAAAGAAGAAAACACGAAGTTACCAAGAGCTTTCGTGTAATTCACATCTTCAGGGGTGGGTACAGACTAAGGAGAAGTATAAAACAAGGTGTATATGCACAGAGGAGGGTGAGATCAGGTCCACAATGGTCAGGTATTAGAGAATGACCCTATTAATCATTAAATAGCACCGCAACGGTCAGTAGTCAGGTCAGAGGGTAAGGTGACCCAACCTTCTCACCTGGTTACAAATCTTCTTAATTACAAAATTGTCCAGTTTGTACATGCCATTACTCAAATTCATGTTGAATGCTTCGGTATGTTTAATGAGACTAGATTCTATGATGTTCCTACTGTCAATTGAATTACAAGGTAATATTGAGGAGGCATTATCCCGGTCAATGCAATGCTTGTTATCCCTCAAATGAACAAAAAGAACATTGGATTCCTGGCCTGTCCTAACACTATATTTATGTTGTTTAAGTCTAGTTACAAGATCTTTACCTGTTTGGCCTCAGTAAAACATATCACATTCCTTGCAAGGAACTTTATAAATGCAACCAATTGTGTTGTTGGGGGAGTTCTTGATTAGCATTTGTTTAACAGTGCATGAGATTTTAAATGCCACATTGACGTTCCAGGTTTTTAGTTGTAAAGGAATTTCAGAGAAATTTTTGTGAATGGTAATACTAAGAGATTTTTATGGTCATGGGCGGGCTTGGGATAAGTTCTATAAAAAGATTTCTTAGTAATGTTCAGGCATTTGTCTATGAAAGATCTAGGGTACTTAAGGTTTAAGCCAATATTATATATATATATTTATATTCCTCATCAATGAATCCGGGCTGCAAATTCTCAAAGAACGTAAAAACATTGTTGAAAATACTGACTGTTTGACTCTATTATGGTGGGAAGAATAATAATGAATGTATGAACACACATTAGTAGGTTTTCTATAAATACTGAACTTAAAAGTGTTCCCTATTCTGTGTATCAGACAGTCTAGGAATGGCAATTTACAGTCATGCTCTAATTCCACAGTGAATTTGATCGAGGGAGCTAAGTTGTTAAGTTGTGGCAGGAAAGCTTTTAGGTCCTCATTACATGGTCAGAGAAATGAGGATGTTCTTAAGAAGATAAATAGATTAAATAAGACAAAATCCCCAGGGCCTGATGAAATTTTCCCTCGAGTTTTGAAAGATTATAGAGTATAAGGAAGAGATTAGCGGCCCCCTCTTAAATTTATTTACAAAATCATTAGATACGGGAGTTGTGTCAGACTTGTCGAAACAGGCAAATGTAGTACCCATATTCAAAAAGGGTGACAGAGCATCAGCGTCAAATTGCCGGCCGATTAGTTTGACGTCAGTAATGGGGAAATTTCTTGAATCAATTATAGCAACTAACATCCGATCGCATTTAGAGAAAAACAAATAAATCTACAACTCTCAACATGGGTTTACAAAGGGAAAATCTTGTCTAACAAACGTGCTGACTTTTTTAGGAAAGTGTTCCAAGTAGTAGATAATGACAAAAAATACGATGTTATTTACTTAGACTTTAGCAGAGCGTTTGTCAGAGTACCGCATCAGAGGCTTCTGAGAAAAGTTAAGGCTCATGGTATCGAGGGGAAAGTTTTACATTGGATAAAATCATGGCTCACCGATTGAACACAAAGGGTCAGCGTAGATGGTGTTAAATCTGAGTGGGGCTGTGTAACCAGTGGGGTTCCCCAGGGGTCAGTACTGGGTCCTCTCTTGTTCATAATCTACATAAACGATCTAGATGCTGGGATCAGCAGTGACATAAACAAGTTTGCGGATGACACCAAATTAGGGCAGCAGATTAATTCAGGTAGGATTTAAATAAACCGCAGGAGTGTTCAGAAAAATGGCAAATGAAATTTAACACCAGCAAGTGCAGCGTACTTAATATTGGAAGAACAAATACTGTCAATGTATACAGCCTTAACAACATCAACCTAGAGAAGTCGACTTGTGAAAGAAACTTAGGGGTACTTGTAAGCCCGGACCTACGGCCTAGAAAATGTAGGACTAGAGTGTGTTTTCCTGGGGCTGGGATAGGGCATGTAGCTGAGGCGATAGATAGGGTTTTGTCAGGGGAGGGTACGAAGCCAGTAGTGTGTCTTAGTGTAGGAGACAACGACATAGGAAAGGTTAGGAGTGAGGAACTTTTTCAGAGGTATAGGGAGGCGCTGGGAAAGGTTAGAGATAGGAGAGGGATCCCGATAGTATGTGGTTTCTTGCCTAGAAGAGGAGTTGATGGTGATTGGTTTTCAAGGGCAGTTGGTGTCAACGGCCGTCTTGACAGATATTGCAAGTCAATATCAGTCCCCTTCATTGACAACTGGGACATCTTTCACGGTAAAAGGGACATTTATAATAGAGATGGGGTACATCTGTTTCGGGATAAGGTGGCAACCCAGGCTGGCTCTCTCGAGAGGGCAGTTCCAAAAATGTCGAAGTCTTTAAACTGCTTGGGGAACACTTGAGCACGAGGGTGGAGGAAACTACAGTGGGAGTGGGTAAAGAAAGTGAACCGTTACAGGGAAATAGTGCTAGGAATTATAACAAAACTAAATTAGGAAGGGAGTTAACGTAAACGCGACAAAGAGAGGACTCAGAACACGACTAACTTAAATGTCTACTACGTAAACAGTAGAAGTAAGAGAAACAAATTAGATGAAATCAGGGCGTTGAAATGTACTGAAAAATTCGATATAATAGCATTCACCGAAGCATGTATAAACCTAGACCAGGGGTGGGCAACCTTTTTGAGTGTGTGTGCCAAAATCGACCAAATCTTTGATACAAAATTTTCTCTGGTGCCAACCAAAGTTTCCGGGTCACATATTATTTGGTATCTTTTACGTAATGGGAGAACCTTTTCAAATAATCAGAAATCACACCGGGGTGGTAAAATCAGAGAGTTTTGTAAGAGTGATTTTATAAATCATGGGATATTGAATGAATGTAAAAATTAGTGACAGAATTTTTACTTAGTGGTTGTTCTTCCCTGTTGTTAGCGTGGATGTTTTATATTAGCATTTCAGTGTTAAATCTAGTTGTCATATACATCCACACAATTTAAAGACGTTATTTTTAGCATCAGCAAAAGAGTAAACAATATTTTTGATTTGTTTATCAGATCATTCAGCCATTAGTTTTTGTAAACTTTTTTCAGTACATTACAATACCAAGCTCAATATCGATTTACTCGACTAAAACACAATAAAAGGATATAAAACTAAAGATATTCTTTTATTGATTCTTAATCCTTTATGAATGATGCATAAAAACCACAGAGAAAATATAAAAGTTATTTTACCTACAAAAATACACACTGTATTATATTAAACAAAAGGGAATCCTTAATATTTTTAACAGAATACATCAAATGAAAATTAGAGAACGAATAATTGTGAACCTTTTCTTTATTTAGAATCAATGAGACTTCTGCTGCTGCATCCCTGATGATAGATAATTTATATCCGGTTTATATTTTGTAACCTTGAGAGATATACATGCGCTACTAGTTTCATCAGTAAGGCTACTTCTATTATGAGACTTAACAGAGTTCATCACTGAGAACAATGATTCACAAGAATATGTAGATGAAAAAATGGATAGTAATGTTGTTGCAAGTTTTTTTAAACAGACAAAAGTTTCTGGAATAGTATTCCAAGTCCTCAGTACCTCGTTTTCGGCATTTCTCTCTCTTACTCCCTTCTCTAATCGATCCTTTTCAATACTTTCCAAGTCAGCTCTAAGCTCAACAAATTTCTGCCTCCAAATTGAGCTAGTTTGAAATTCAATCAATTGCATTTCAAAATCATCCATATCTATCCATGAAAACTTCTGCAAGTTTAGTTCATCCAGTTTTATACTGTCTGGAAACTTAATGAATTTTGCAGTCTCTTCTAATTCTCTGAACCTAGCAAATCTTGTTGAGAACTGCTCAACAGTTGACTCAATGATGTTTACAAATAGCTTCTGAAGACACTGGCAGTCTGTTTTGTCATCCTTTGTGAGATCATTGATGTATTTCTTTAGGTTTGGAAAGTATCTAAATCTTTCACTATCTACATCCCTCTTAAAAACTCCTAGTTTCATTTCAAATGCCTTTATGTAATCAAACATAACATCAAGTGTCTTACCAGAGCCTTGTAATTTAACATTTAAGTCATTTAAATGTTCACATAAATCTGCAAAAAACATTAGTTTACAAACTCACACGATGTCAGACATTTCTTTATAAGACATTTGTTGGTTAATCAGAAAGAGATTTATCTCATCCATGCATTCAACAAATCGTTTCAAAACAAATCCTCGACTAAGCCAACGAACATTGTTGTACATTGTTAGTCCTTTGTACACCGAATCCACCTCATTCAATAAATTCCGAAATTGTCTTTTATTTAAGGCACGTGCAGAAATATAATTAACAACCTTGGTGACTGTTTGCATCACTTCTTGAAGTTCCCTTAGACCAGCTTTAGCACATAAAGCCTCCTCATGTATGATGCAATGAAAACCTATCAGCTGATGACCAACATGTTTTGCAAACAGATTTACAAATCCTGCTTCCTTACCAATCATACTGGGTGCACCATCTGTTGTGACGGATACTACTTTTGAAATGTCAATTTGTCGAATAGATAATTCGTTCACAACTGCTTTACATATGTCAGCCCCAGTGGTACGCTCAGGTAGTGTTACAAGGTTAATCATCTCTTCGCATACCTCATCATCCCTACAAAATCGAGAAAAAATTGCTAGCCTAGCTGATGATGTAATATCTGTGCTTTCATCAACACAAATAGAAAAGAACTTACATGAAGCTAAATCCTTTGTTAATTGGTCAGTTGTATTCATTTCCATCTTAAGTATCCTATCCTTAACTGTTTTTCTACTCACAGACAAATCTTTAATGCGCTGAATAATCTTGTCCTTTTCTGAAAGGTTATCAAAAAGGAAAGGAGCACATTCTAGCCATGCTTCTTTAATATACTCCCCATCACTGAGTGGCTTTCCATGTTGGGCAATAACTTTTGAAACCTCAAAACCAGCAGCAACTAAGTTGGAACTTAGCCTACCTGAAATAAATTTCATCAAAACATCAGACTGTTTTTTTGTCTTGATCATTTCACAAGAAATTAATTCTCTTCGTTCTTGCTCAGTTACGTTACTTAAGTTTTTATGAACAGTTTCAAAATGTCTCTTCACAGAAGAAGTCCTACAAACAACTGATTCAGAACATAAAATGCATAATGCTTTATTATCTTTCTTAATCATGCCAAATTTTTCAGTCCAGTATTCTTTAAATTCTCTAATATCCTCTTCATTTGTATGACATCGTTTCTTGGCTGGTGGTCGTGACATTCTGTACAATCTGTAAATAAGGGGTAGAAAGCAATCATGATGTGTAAAAAAATAATTGCTCTCTTCGCACACTTTCCAACTTTAAGTTATACTTACTTTTAACACCAACAGCTATTTCATGATTTTTGTGTGGTTATATAGTAGAATGCGTTAATACAAAACTATTTTCTTTTGTAACACTTTTGGTAGAAATGCATAATAACCGAGACATTAATTTATAAATTATTAAAAAATATAAATAAAGAAATAAATCTGTATATATATATTCTGTATTCACATAGTATTATAGTAGAATGCTTAATACAAGATTATTTTCTTCTATAACACCTTTGGCCAAAATGCACAATACCTGAGTTATTATTTTATGAAGCATTATTATAAAAAAAATAATATCTCGGTTATTATAAATTTTGGCCAAAAGTGTTACAAAAGAAAATAGTCTTGTATTAATGTATTCTACTATATAACCACACGAAAAACATGAAATAGCTGTTGGTGTTAAAAGTAAATATAACCAAAACCGGTTCATGGGGTGTAAAAATGTGGACAGAGACTTGTGGACTCAGACATTCTCTTCACAATCACTCTCTGCATACATATATCAAGGTTTATGAAAATCAGTTGGTGGATAATAAAAAAAATAAAAAATAAAATAAATTGGTACAATTATAGGCATGCCTACACAATGCAAATCAACGAGAAAGGCATGCATGCTATCTGATCACGTGCAGATAACACTTCATAATCCTGAATATTAATAATACATTTCCCTTAGCTTTAATAATAACTTATGTTTATGGCACATACAGTATGCTGAAGAACAGGCTTCATTAACCTCTTTTGGACCTTCTGACCAGTGTGCCAGATATGTCACGCTCCATAAATATACTCACTACCAACAAGTTCATAAAATTTTCAGCAAAGGTTTGCTTTACTCACTTAAGCGGGGTGAGATCCATTATTCAGCTTAAAAAAGGTCACATTTTAGGGGCAAAATTTAAATCGCCTTGCTAAGGTAAGTTGCGCCAAATTTTCCTTGTGCACAGGAGTATACAGATTCAGCAGTGTCTTAGGAACATCGATAAATTTATGGGTAAGCATGACAAACACTATGACAGCTGATAATTTGGACAGTAAATAATAACTTACTTGCACGTGGTCAGCGATTCTCCCTCTTGCTATGTTTACTTTGCTGGTTCACACTTCACACATTCACCACCAGAGGAACAATGATTAGAGAGAACGGATATGCATGTGACATTTATGGGACACTGAGCAAAAAAGCCATGTTCCCTTCCATGAAAGTTAAGACACCTTTTAAGTTAATGTGCCATATAATGACCCAGTGATCTAAAAGAGGTTGACTTTTGATATAATATTTTTAATGCAATCTCTGATAGCCAGATAATTATTACAGATCTTGGTGTAATATTTGTTTTTCTTTTAATTAAATTTAAACATTCATATAGCTGAACTTGGATTTTGCTAACCGATAAATTCTTTGCGAAACTGCAAAACTCGAAAAAATATATAAAATATTAATGATGGTAAAGGAGTCACACCACGTCTGGCCGCATGGCTAATTATTTAACAACAGAACGGGAAACAATCCTTCTACCCGCTGCCGCCAAGGCGGCATGCGGTTGCCATATAAAGGTTTTTTTTTATTGAGGTGAGCCCGGGTCTCGCGTGCCGGAAAGAAGCCGTTAGCGTGCCATGTTTGGCACGCGTGCCAAGGGTTGCCTAGGACCTAGGCGCTTTGAACTCCCAACACCCAACCCTTGGACATCACAACAGAAACCCTGCTGGAGTAGTACTGCACAACCTAATTGAGCAAGGCAGCATTACACACCTAGGACCAGACTTTCAAACATTCATAACACCGGGAAACTCTGGGAATCCCGACATAAATCTGACAAACAGACACCGCCATTTTCACACACACATAAAACTTGGACCCGCCAGCACCAGTGACCACATACCCATAATAGCAACTTTTTCCACATCTACAATACAAATTCCCTCGACACCAAGATATTCATTTAATAGAGCTAACTGGGAAGTTTCAAAACAGCTCTCAACACCGACGAAATAATAACTCTCCACAACAAAAACACCAACGAGATCGATATTGCCTTAGAAACCTGGTATTCGAAAATCACAATAGCCATGAAAAGCAAAATCCCAAAAACAACATATCGCACACTACCATATGTACAACTAACACACAAAGAAAAAATCATCCAAACCAGATTCACCAACCTACATGAATTTATAAGAATCACACGGCTGAAGCCCAAACATTACTGTATTATATGGAAATCTTAAAGAATAACTACTAGAAAGATGCAAAGTAAAACACAACGAGAAATGGAACCAGCTAATAAACAACACACAAGCAGACTACAGAAACCCAAAAGCCTTCTGGAGTAAAATAAAAAATCTTATGGGAACCAACTCACAGGAGAGCAACTACCTTTTAGACAACAACTGCAAGAAGATCACAGAACCTAAACTCAAGGAACCAATATTCAGAACTTTCTGGAGCAGCATCTACCAAATCACGGATGATAACAACCGAAACTGATGTAGAGAAACAGAACACCTGGTGGAAACACACTTGAACCAAAACACAGACAAATAGCAACGATCCAGGACAATCAACCTCAACACGTTAGATATTAACGACCCACTAATTGCTCCAATAACCACACATGAAATCACAAAAAACAATTGCCAGCTTCAAGAATAAATCGCCCGGAATAAGTCAAATAAACAAAACCGTGCTGCAAAACATACCACCACAAATGCTCAAACAGCTTGCAGACATATTCAATGCATCAATAGCAAGCGAATTATTCCCATCCAAATTTAAAATGGCAAAAATAAGACTCATTCCAAAACAAGGAAAGAACCCAACACAGGCAGAAAACTACAGACCCATATCACTCCTCGAAACACCTGTCAAAATCCTTGAATAAATAATAAACCAGAGACTAAGAAACCACCTAAAGTATAAAGATAAATACAACCATAGACAACACGGGTTCAGGAAAAACTGAGGCACCAACACTTCAATAGCCTTAATATACGAATCCATCGCAAATGGAGCCAGCAACAGAAACCAATGTAACATAGTACTCAGAGATGTCAGCAAAGCCTTCGACAAAGTATGGCATGAAGGGCTCCTCTGCAATTTCCTTGATAACAGACAATGCAAACTCACCATCGACGACTACATGGGTCAAAACTTCACCCTCTACAGTGGAGTACCCCAAGGCAGCAACATATCACCAACACTATACAGTATACACCATATATACAGCGGACATGCCTAAACCAAAAAACTCAGAGTACATTGCATTCGCAGACGACGTAACCCAAATTATACAATACCCAGGGAAATCCAAACAAATGATGGCAATCAGAACTAGCAGAGAAATAGAAACCATAAACAATTATGAAAGGAAATGGAAAATTAAAACTAACTCACAAAAACTGAAGATCATTCATATAGCTAAAACCAGACCTTACCCAATAAATGGTCAACAATCAAAACATTCCATACGCAGAAAATGGAAAAATCCTCGGTCTCAAAATTACAAGGAACGGCATACTACCACATGTCACAGAAAGAATTGCAAAAGCCAAGATCCAACTAACTAAACTCAGAAGATTCCGCAAATTAAACACCAATATACAACTACACCTTTACAAAGCACAAGTCAGACCACACCTGGAATATCCCCCAATTCCTCTCAACACTATAACAAAATCAAATAAACTCAAAATACAAGCAGTTCAAAACATACCCTTCAGAAGAGCAGCAAAACTCAGACCACCATATACAAAAAATTCCCGAGAGCTGCACACAGAACATAACCTAACCACAATCAACATCAGAACAGATAATCAAGCATTAGCAATATGGGAAAAACTACAAGAACTAGAAGACATCATATTCCAACAATTAATGCAAGAAGACATTACCAGAACACACAACTGGTGGCCAAAGAGCATAACATTTGACAACACAGAACCATAACCAACATATACGAAATGAAAACCAAGAGACTCAAAATACATGGAGGGTCCCCCTCCCCAAACACAACGAACTACCTTTGCTTATACTAACTTGGCTTCCCTTCCCTCCCCTTGCTGTAGTGGACCTGAAAGGCTGACATGGCAGACTTAACCCCGTCCCCGCAAGGTGGACAGCCCACCTGCTATCACTCTCCCTCTTTATTTCCCACTTCCTAACCTTTCCCTTCCTCCTACACCCTCTTCCACCTTCCTGAGCCGATAGCTCTCTTCTCTCCATCATCATCATCATCTCCTTAGTCTGTACTCACCCCTGAAGATGTGAGTTACACGAAAGCGCTTGGGAACTTGGCGTTTTCTTGTTTAGAACATAAGAACATAAGAAAATAAGGAGTCTGCAATAGGCCGGTTGGCCAGTGCATGGCAGCTCCTGTCGAGAGTTACTACCACTCTCAATTATCCATGAATCTATCCAGCCTCCCTTTGAAACTTTCCAGCGTTCCAGCACTTACTACAAAGTTGCTAAGCTTGTTCCACTCGTCCACCACCCTATTTGTAAACCAGTTCCTTCCTATCTCCCTCCAAAGCCTAAACTTATCCAACTTGAAACCGTTGTTCCGAGTCCTATCCTGCTCGGATATTATAAGAACTTTATCTATATCACATTTATTGATTCCTTTCACCCACTTGAATACTTCTATCATATCTCCCCGCACTCTTCG